TGGAGGACTCTGTCTCTCTCTGTCTCTTACCTCCCCCCTCTTTCCTCGTCCCCCCTCTCCCCCCATTATTGAGTCCCTTCTTACAACCCCATTTCTGTCTAGGCCCGAAACGTCAGCCTTCCTGCTCCTATGATGCTGCTTGGCCTGCTGTGTTCATCCAGCTCTGCACCTTGTTGTCTCCAATAAGAGCTGAACAGCTATGCAAAACATTGAACAGCAATGCTGAAGCTGCAGAGCAACCACACCCTTCAAGTTAAACTTGTGACTTGTTTAAGATATATCTAGTACAGGTTGTAAATCCAGAGATCTTTCCATCTCATTAAGTCATCACGAGTCACAAAAACAAAAATGATTCAATTGTAGTGCTTATTGTAGAGATGCCACTTAAAAAATAATCACACCATTTATATTTCTTGGAATGTTGAACAGTTTAAAATAGTATGTTTAACTTTAATAAAAAATTGTTCTTATTTAGGTGAATGAACTTACCAGCAATGCTGGGACCTTTCTACATTAGAGCAGTTCCTACACTTTCTTGGCTGTAGAGGATCTGAACATGTGAAATAAAAGCTGAAGTAGACTATCCAGTCCCTCAAGCCTGCTGTGCCATTCAATAAGATAATGGTTAAATCTGTTTCTGTATCAAATTCCATATTCCACTGACCCCCAATACTTTTGCATAACAAGAATCTGCCTTAAAAATATTCAACAACCCCACCTCTACCATGTGAAGCAGAAAGTTCCAAGTCACACAACACTATGAAAAAATTTTTCTTCATTTGTCCTGAAAGGATAATGCCTAATGTTTAAACATTGACCACAAGAGAAAACATCCTTTCCATGTTTGCTTTGTCAATTAAGTTAGTCAAGTGTTGACTGTGGTGGTATTAGGTCCAATATTTCAAAAACCTATTTTTTTTTTGGAAAAGTAAGCTTTTCGTCTAGTGCTAATGTTTTAATTGAGTGAAAGCTATCTTGAAAAGTCTGCTTTCCAATTTTTGAGTTCCCATTGTAAAGGCTATCCTAGTTACTGCACAAGTGCAATCAAATTCATCCTTGTGCTTGTACAACTGAAAACTCAGAAGGCCAGCTGTCGATATTTCAATTCAACAAGGCATTTTCCAATGACCTGAATGCTTCCTGCCAATTGTTATGCTAAAAATAAAATTGAAAACTGATTTAAATAAAATGAAATTATCCCAGCCACAGTTACATTTGAAGTAGATGTGCCTGCAGCTGTGATACAAAATTTCCCTTGGTGTGTCAAATGGTGATTGTTAAGATGGCACTACATATCATGTGACATGAATACAAGAGGCCATGTTGTTGGAGGTAGTATATTAGCATGTAGAGAGGACAGTGTAAGGATAAGGAGGACATTTTAAGGATAGCAATCTGTAGCTAGTGGAATGCCACTGAGATCAATGCTGGGCCACAATTATCCTGGGAACTGTTTTTTTTAAAAAGGAAAAAAAAATCTCTCTTCACTAAGTGTCTGATTCTATCCTTGACAATTCCAGCCAATCTGGAAAGGCACGGCACAGAAATAAGCCATGTGGCCCATTGTGTATACACTGGCTGACAAGTAACCGTTCAGCCTAATCTCATTTTCCAGTCACTGGAATGTAGCCTTGTTGGTTATAACACTCCAATGCATATTCAGAGACATCAGTGTGGAGCTGGAGGAGCACAGCAGGCCAGGCAGCATTAGAGGAGCAGGAAAGTTGAAATTTCGGGTTGGGACCCTTCTTCAGAAATCTGAAGGGTCCCGACCCAAAACATCAACTTTCCTGCTCCTGCTGTGCTCCTCCAGCTCCACACTTATCTCTGACTCCAGCATCAGCAGTTCTTACTATCTCTCAATGCATATTCAAATGTGTTTTAAATATTTTGAGGATTCCTGCCTCTACCACCTGTCAGACAGTGAGCTCCAGATCCCTAACATCATCCAGGTGAAGAGAATTTCTCTAAACAGCCTACTCCCTACCATAAATCTATGTTCCCTTGTTATGAATATTTTGCCCCAGGAGCACCACTTTCTTAGCCATTGTACCTAGATTGCTCATAATTTTATTCACTTCAAATAGGTCACTGTCATCTGTGGGAGGTTGACCTTTCCAACACTTGCTTTCAATTTAACCTAACATTTTGTCAGAAATAACTTGCTCTTGCCAATTTAATTTCACCTTTTTAATCATAAATAATAATTATGATATCTTGTTTACAAGAGCAGAACCTTAAACCTTAGTGATCAAACTAAAATTCTAGAATCCAACAATGCCTGATGTGAATACATGACTAACCATAACATGCAGGAGCAGAAGTAGGCCATTTAGTCTGCTCACCATTCAATGAGATCATGGCTGATCTGAATCCTCAACTCCACTTACCTGCTTTCCCCCCCACCCCAGAACCCTTGATTTCCTCATTGAATTTAAAAAAAAAAAAAAATCTCTCAGCCTTGAACATACTGGACGCAGCCCCCACAACCCTCTGCAGTGACAAATTCCACAGATGCGCTAATCTCAAAAGAAATTCATCCGAATCTGTTTTAAATGTCTGACTCCTTATTTTGAGATTATGCCATCTGGTCTCCACAGTTACCTCAAAGTCCCCTAAGAATCTTGTATCTTTCAATAAGGTTGCATCTCATTCTTCATTCCAACGAGTTCAGGGTCAACCTACTCAACATCTCCTCATTACACACCCCCTACATACTTAATTTTTGCCTGGTGCACATTCTCTTGACTGCCTCCAATGCATCTTTCCTTAGTTAAAAGGGGCCCAAAAATTTAAAAGAAACTTATTTCTGATCTCAGAAGCCAGTGCATTTCAATCAGGATGGTCAGTAAACTTCCACTGGCATTCCAAATCCTGACAGTTGACCATTGACTTTTTAAGAAAGTCAATGTGGATGTTGGCTGAGATTACAACCAGGTTTTTCCTTGTTTGTTTTTTCATAAATTGAACAAATTGAAAACACTTTTTTTTTATATTTCTACCTGGACTAAGTACTGGAAGGAAACATGAGTGTATTTCAGGGGCAAAGGAGATAACTGAAAATCTATGAAATGTTTTGAATCTTCAAATACATATTTTTAGGATGGAACTCAAGTAGACAGTCAGGCATCACTCAACAAGCTAAGACTACCCCTTTACACTAGTCTGGAAAAAAAAAGGCACAGTCAAAATCCACTTATTTCCCAAACCCAACTTTCCTAAAAGCCAGAGACAAAAATTATTACATATAACTTGATTTTTCTCATGTACGCAAGCCATTTCTGGGTGCAATCATGAATTTCAATTGACTGATATGATCAAAAAAAATTGAAGTTGGCCATTTACCATTTTGAGCTTGCTCTGCCATTCGGTAAGATCATGCTTAATTTAACAAAGTACTATTTCCGATTTCCAACGTCCAAGTATTTTGCTTTAGTAATAGAGCAACTGCTGATGGTAATGGTATATTGTTTCAGAATCACATATTATAGCAGAAGGCCATTCAGCTCACTGTATCTGCACTGACTCTCCAAGTGGGCATGTAATGCTGCTCTGCTGCAATCCTGAACATTGTTATCTGAAAAAGAAGTCTAATTCCCCTTTGAATGCCTTAAATGAGCCACAATCGGGAGTCAGCGCATTCCAAATCCTAACCCCACGCTGCCTGATAAAGCCTTTTTAAAACCACTTTGGCTCCTTTTGCCAATTATTTTAACTATGTTCTCTCCCTTCAGAGTGGGATCAGTTTCAATCTGAAAATAGTTTCTAGACTTTTTTTTGTCAAGATAGTTTCTGTCCTTTGTTGTGTAACGCTGCCGGCTGTATTGCCCTCATCTTTAGAGAGCACCTTTCTCCATGATCTTCACTTTAAAAGGTAAAGTCGCCGTACTCCACCAGACCACAAGGCAGTCAGAGACGATTATTGATGCTTTAACCTGAGGGTCACCAAGCCTCAGACGGGGAGAAGGAGGTTGAGCAGGAGAATCCTCCGCAGTAACCTCAACCAGTGCGGGATTAAACCCATGATGTTGGATCAGGTCGGTTAGTTCAGTTGGCAGAACGACTGGTTGATCTTCGGGTTTTGATATGATAAAGGGAAACCGTTTCTACTGGTCGTAATGTCAGTAGCCAGAGGACAAAGCCCGAAGTGGAGTTAAGATTTTTTTTTTTGACACGGTGTATTGTATTTTCTACCCAGAAGTATTATCACATACAACCGAGCGACCTTCCCACCAAAATCACCGTGATCTTTTTTGTTTGTACATGGCGTATTGTTGTAATCTGCAAACCACTGCCCGAAACTGGAGTGAGTTTCAATATAACTTTCAGAAGTACACTTGAACAGGTTGTTAGGGAGTGAGCCGAACGGACTCTTTCCGTGCCGTGTCATTATTGTACGATGGTCCGGTCTCACTCCAAATGCAGCAAATAGACATCACGTTAAAATGTGGATATAACTGCGCGCCCTTCCAGATTCCAGCTCCCAGCTTGGAAAGAATCATTAGAAATATTCGGTACATTAACCAAGTATGTCTCTTCTCTGAATTCAGCACTTACCTGTTCTAAAAACAACGTGTGTCTGTTCTTTCTGCTTCTGTCGTATGGAGTCATACTGCTCTTCCAGTTCATTTATATCCATCAGAAGCGAGTTGTCCTCTCTGTTGCTACTCTGCTGGTATTTCACTGCCGGGTGGTTGCGCCTGTTGATTATTTGCGTCAGGTACACTTTCCCCCGAACCATCTGCTGCCAAACGCAGGTTAACTTTGGGCAGCAGCTTGATAAGAACATCCTCGTTTGTTTAAAGTCAGTAAACACACAGACGGCTGATGACTCAGCGGCCGCATGGGGAGATTCACCGGTTGTTCCACGGTTGCAGAACACCAGCAACTCTCAAAAAGTCAGCCAACTGCAAAAAGAATCCAATCGAGAAGGCCAAGCAGAACCTTTTGTACCAAGGAACGTGTTATACTGTTTACCTGTGCTTAAAAAACGTCGACGCTAAAACAACTAGGGAAAAAAAATTAACACTTTCCTTCCTGCCAACTTGCGTTGTACAATTGTACAAAATAAAAAGAAACAAAGTAATGAAACCGGAGACGAAGAACTTGTTTCCACTTGCAGAAGGCTAGGCAAACGGAGGAGATACGCTAAAGGCGATTAGCAGCAGAACCAGACGGTGACCAGGAAAAATCGTTTGTACGCAAAGTTTTTCTAAACACTCCTCCTGACCTGAAAGGTCAATGGTAATTTTGATTTGGGAATTTGGTCAAACAGGGAAATGGGGAAAAGAGCAAATGGAGGGGTATGACTAAATAGTTCTTTCCATTGCATAGAAGTGGCAAGTTGCACAAAGCCATATATCATAGTTGCCATCTAAACTTTTTAAAATAATCTTTGCAAACACTAGAAAAAGGGGAAGGCTGGTGACAATAGTTCCAAATATTTCTCTGCCAAGATGTTGCAAAACTACAGACAAGTGCCCGGACGTGGGACTTTCTGAATCACTTTTTCAAACAGCCAATGCAGGTGTAACTGGCTGAATAGCCATCTTGTGTGCAATATTATTCTTGTATTATATTAGATAAATACTTGCAGAATGGTATGATGAATCCAATAAAATTCTATTTTATAACTTGAGATTTATTTCAAGTAACATGTTTTAATTCCTGATGAAGGGTCTAGGCCTGAAACGTCAGCCTTTCTGCTCCTATGATGCTGCTTGATCTGCTGTGTTCATCCAGCTCTGCACCACGTTTTCATTCCTCTCTGATTTTGCAATCAGCAACAATTTAATGGTGTTACTTGCATTTACCCTCAGGTTTGTTTACTCTTTAGCAGGTGGTGAGCATTGTTAACCAGCCCAATGTGTATTGCCCATCCCTATATGTCCTTGAGAAACTGATGATCCAGTTCTTGAACTACTGCAGTGACGTGGCTTTAAACTACACTTGGCAGTAATTAGACTGAAAATTGTTGCCTAGTTTTCTCCTTAATGACAGTAAGCACCAATACTTCATTTCATTCTTACAGCAAAATTTTGAGCCATTGGAATTAATCCCCCATGATAATACTAACAGGCAAATGATTAATTGCAGTTGGAGAGAGGAACAGAAAGCAGAATCAGATGTGCATGTAACCTAACTTGAAAGGTGATGAGGCTTGGGGTCTTTCCTTACTTGCAGCTGGGAAGAGGAACAGCTGAACAGAATCAGATCCTACTTCGCAGCTGGGCTGAGTTTGAAACAATAATCCAAGAATGACACCACAGGAAAGTTAAGTATCAAACTAAGGTGGAAAAGCAAATGTATAGGAAATAATTCAAGGATAAGTCATGGCAGGGCAGCTCAACCATGTGGAATATTCTTCCTGTGTAGTGTGGGAAGTTGGGGACTCTTTGAATTTCCAAGGTACCTCCACGTACAGAACGACCCTTTAGATGCAGTTACTTGAAATCCACATTTTGAATCTGAACTATTAGCTTGAGTCACTGTGCAGCAAATGTAAGGTTGAGATTTTTGTGGATAGCATGCACAAAGGTTGTCAGACCACAAATAAAGACTGCATAGACAGAAGGGAAATGGGTGACTACCAGACAGTATAAAAGCATAAGGTAGATAGGGCAATAGATCCTGGGAACTCCTGCACTATCTTACAGATTTTCCACTTTGGACACTGTTAGAGAAAGTGATTTCTCAGGTGAATGCAGCAAGAACCAAGTTCATGACCCTATGAGTCATTTGCCTGCACCAAGATGGGGGAGGGGGAGGAAAAAAGAGCGGAAGAGCATTCGTGATAGGGGATCCTATCATAAGGGAAACAGACATTTCTGCTGCTGCAGATGTGATGCCACAGATGTTGTTTTCTTGATCTCAGGATCAAGGTTGTCACTGAGCTGCTATAGGATATTATGAAGGGGAATGATGAATAACCCAAAATCATGGTCCATGTTGGTACCAATGACATAGGTAAAGAGGGGGATGGGGTCCTGCCAGCAGGATATAAGAAGCTAGAAAATAAAAAGCGGCACCTCAAAGTTGTAATCTCAGGATTGCTCCCAGTGCCACATGCTAGCAAGATTAGGAGCAGGTGATTAGAACAGATGACTGTATGACTGAAGCGATGATGTTGGAGGGAGGGATTTAGATTTAAAAGGTGTTGCGACTAATTCTGGGAAAGCTGGGACCTGTACAAGGTTGTACTCCAGCAGATACGATATCTTTACAGTGGCATTCACTAGTACAGGAAGGGACAGTTTAGAGTAGGGGGGATGGATATCTTAGTGGTTGAAACACCAGAAAGGGAAACAAAGATAGAAAGTTAGAAAGCAAAAGTGGAAGGCAGGGGAGACACAGACCTCTAGCAAATAGGACCATTAATATACAAATGTGCAAAAATCTTAAAGACAAGTTTAAAATGTACTTGTATCTGAATGCATGGAGCATTCACAATTATGTAAAAAAAAATTAATAGCACAAATAATTATAAAGAAGCATTACATTAGTTGCACTTCTCGATGTGACGGCAGGGCGACCAAAGCTGGGATCTGAATGTCCAAGGTATTTAAGAATGGCAGCGAAAGAGTTCAGATGGCATTGTTAGCAAAGGATCAAATCAGTGCAATTGTGAGATAAGACATTGGTTTAGAAAATTTAGATGTAGAATCAGTCTGGTTGGAGTTAGGAAGCAACAAAATGGGAGTTCTCTATAGGTCACCAAACAGTAGTGGTAAGGTTGGGGATGACAATAAGCAGCAAATGAGAGAAGCATATGTGTGGAAATGCTACAGTAGTCGTGGATTACTGTGAACTACATCAGCAATAATATTGTGGTAGATGAATTCCTGGAGTATGTACAGAATACTTTTTTAAGACCAGTATGCTAAGGAACCAATGAGGGAATAGGCTATTCTGTATTTGGTATTATGCAAAGAGAAGGGGTTAATTAACGATCTTGCTGGGTTCTTTAGGGAAGGGAATTATTCATTAGGCTGAAAAAAGTAGCCATCCAATCTGAAACTAGGGTGTTGAATCTAAAATTAAACTGTGAAGGTTTAAGGAGTGAGTTGTCTATGATAGATTGGATAATTTCATTAAAATCCATAAGCTGGATAAACAATGCTAATATTTAGGGAACAAATACATGTGTTGCAATAGTTATACATTCCCTTCTGGCACACAACACAACACAACAGGTAAAGTAGCCCAATCATGGATAATAAAAGAAATTAAGGATACTATTAGATCCAAAGAAGAGTCTCATAAATTTGCAAGAAAAAGTAGCAAGCTTGAGCACTGGGAGCAGTTTAAAATTCAACAAAGGCAGACCAAGAGATTAAGATGGGAAAACATAGAATATGAGAATAAACCTGAAAGGATCATAAATATAGACTGTAAAAGCATCTGTAAATAAGTAACAAGATAAACACTGGTGAGGACAAATGTAGATTCCTTACAATCTGAAAGGGGAAAATGGATTCTAGAGAATATGAAAATAGCGGAAAAATTAGACATAACAAGGTGTAGAGCTGGATGAACACAGCAGGCCAAGCAGCATCAGAGGAGAGAGAGGGGGAGACGGATAGAGGAGTAGATAGGTGAAGAGGAGACAGACAGGTCAAGCCTCTTTGACCTGTCTGTCTCCTCTCCACCTATCTTCTCCTCTATCCATCTTCTATCCGCCTCCCCCTCTCTCTCTCTCTCGCTATTTATTTCAGAACCCCCTTCACCTCCCCCATTTCTGAAGAAGGGGCTAGGCCCGAAACATCAGCTTTCCTGCTCCTCTGATGCTGCTTGGCCTGCAAAGTTCATCCAGCTCTACACTTTGTCATCTCAGCTTCTCCAGCATCTGCAGTTCCTACTATCTCAGAAAAATTAGGCAACTACTTTAATTCTGTCATCAAAGAAGAAACAAATAACTTCCCAGAAATGTTAGGGAACCAAGGGTCTGGTGAGAAAAAGCATCATGATAATGGAACCAAACCACAAAGTACGATGGTGATTTTCCAAAAGCTGTTCTTTAATGGAAGATTACGACAGACCGTAAATTCAATGCTGTTTGCCAAAGTCCTGTGTGGGAGCCATGAAATATCACATCTGTAAAGAGTGTCAGAAAAACTTCAAACAGTAAGAGGCATTACAGGAAGAAATAATATGGGGCTGGCTATCTCCCTTTTTCTCAGCAGAAAGTTACTTCTTGCAGACATTTTTGTTTCCATCTTGTCCTAGGAATATCTAAAAAATATTAAAAACTGACTGCAACCTTGGTCTGTGTGTGCTAGTTGAAAACCATGTGGTTGTAGAAGAAGGCGTGCTATTGGGAGATGGTCTGCTAGCCTAGGTTCAAGCACTGGCATGCTGTGAAGGCCATAGTCAAAGAATCATCTGCTAGTCACCCCTGCATTACAGACAAAAGCTACTAAGTGCTGGAAAACTGGACAGAGGGGAAAAAAAACAGGACAGTAAGGATCATATCACTGAGTGCTGCCAACCAGTCACTGTCAAGAGTGAAAGGATTTTAATTAACCTGCAAAATCCAAGAATCACAAAATTGACTGTTCACTATTAATATTCCATTATCTACTCTTCATGAGCAACTCAGTGAGACTGATCCATATATTTTTTTGGACTTGCTACTTTGTCTACGCTTATTCTTGCATAGATTTTATGCATCTATGCATAAAACTTCTTAATCTATTCCTAATCTAAGTATATTGTGTTGTTATTTCTTTCTGCATTTAGCAATTAATAAACTCACTCGTTGGCTAACTTAGGAAAGCCTGGTTAAATTGGCTCCTTTTGAAACATAAATTCTTTTGTTTTGGGAGAAAGGCATCTACAAGAGATGGATCCATTTTAAAATTAATTTTGCTATGACCAACTGAGATGGTTGGTGAATGAAGAAGGGGAGCTAATTCAGCCGTCCTCACCTGGCAGATTAACAATTTGCAGTGTCTGTCTGGAACTAGGTTGGGGATGCTTGTTCTGGTTGTAACAAATAGGTGCTTTGTGCCATGATTTGAACCCACAGCCAAAACAAAAGAATCACTGTGAAATCAATTCTTTAAAAGAAAGAAACTGCAAAAAGCTTTCTTGAGTTTGCATTGCTATAGTACAGAAATGTCTGCATTCAATGCCAGTGTGTTCCGAGCAGAACTGAGGGAATTTATTTTTGAGGATTTATAACTTCTGTCCCTTGCTGAGTCACAAAGCTCAGCAAAGTACCTGGGATTAGTTTTCATTTGAAAGCCAGAAAACTTGAAGTTTTACAAACCGTGTCCAATGGTTTACAGATGGCAATTTAAGGATAACGAATGAATAAAATAGCAGTACAGAAATTAAAATTAGAGCAGCAGAAATGAGAAATTCCAGAAAAAGAAAGAGGAGAACTGGGAAAGGGAGGAAAGAGCAAGGAAGGAGGAGACACAATTTCAGGAAAGGTTTCTATTCAGACAGTTCATGCTGAGGAGCAGGAACCTTTATTGTGTACAAAGAAGACACCACTAGTTCACTTTGGAGGGTG